CTTGGGCCGGGTACCCGACCAGGTCAAGTGCCCACCCGACCGGGTGCATGTCAAAATCAGATAATCTTCCACGTTCTTGTGTTTCAGCACGTCGTTTTGTCCCGGGTCACATCTGACCCGACCGGGTCAAGTAGGGGACCCGACCGGGTCCAGTGATTTTCCAGGCACTTTCGCTTGTTAAATCGTACCCGACCGGGTAAGTGTCCCTGGGCAGCATTCCTCTTGTTTTTCCTTCTTTTCCTTGCCAAAAACTCTACCACTAATTTACAACTTATAAATGGAAGCTAAAAACATTTACAAACCAAATAAAACAAATGTTTCCAAACTAATAAAAATGGTAAACAATACACACAAATCAAACATAAAAATATACATTTATGCACTACTAATTAGTGCATATCATATGGGTCTGACTTGACTCTGAGCAATCGTTCATTCTTTCCACAGAATGAGCGGGTAAAGCGGTGTGAATATCATTCAAACTTTTAGTTCTTCTCTTCTTGGCAAGAAGAATTTGATCTTCAAGTGAAACTTCTTTTTTTTTATATTCTTTCTGTGTGAAATCTATATCAAGTTTCTCCCATGCTCGTTGATGCTGGCAGCTAACATGACTGTCCACAAATTCCTTCTTCTGAATCTGTGTATGGAGTTCAATATAACTTAGAGAAGCAAGAAAAGTGTAGGACTAACTTGAAACAGGACTTGGCAATGCCAATGTCCCAATCTGAAAGGAAAAAAATAGTGAGGAAGCGAAAAGAAAAAATAAGAACACAGAATATAGTGCAGTTCCATAATTTTCTTCCCAAAGAGGATAATGCCATGTGTGGAAATCACTAAGCATTCAAATATTAATTAAACTTTCTGGTTTCAAAATGAAAACCAATCGTTCTGTAAGCTTCTGGCCATTCGTGAAAGCTGTGTATAGTTGGGTGTTCGCCAAGTAATTACCTTCATCAATCTTGCTTTGAGATTCAATTCTCAGTGATCTCCATATTTTCTATCTCTTGCTTTGACCTTCTCCTCATGTCTCTTTCTCTTCTTGGCGCATCTCTCTTTTCCCTCAACTTTTTCCTTTGAGAACGTCTTTCCATCTTTTCCACTTTTGCTTGTGCTGCTCTTTCAGCTCGTAAGCAGGCCCGCTGATTATTCCCTACTTTTTCAGCGGCGCAGTGGATCTGTTGAAGAGATATCTCTCTCTTAATCTTGTCATAGCTGTCCCAATCTAATTCATCTTGGTCGTCACTGCCCTTTTTAGCAGCTTCTACCACGCTTACAGCCCAACCTTGCAAGAATTTCTCCCTTGACCTTTTCCTCTTTAAGCGTTTATCTAATGGCTTTCTTAGTGAAGAATGCATCCTCATCTTGGTCTTCTTGTTGAAATACAAATGAATTCTTTTAGTTCGAGTTTATAAGCATAAGAAATGCTCATTTCTCATTTTAATGTTGGTGTCAGTGAGAGTTAAAAGTGCCACATCCAGAAATCTTGGTTAGCGATGGTAATTCATATTCACAACTGTCCATGTTATGTGTTTGAAGATAAATTAGGGTTGTAACAAAAAAATCAGCCCATGCTTCGAACTTTAGGGTTTCCTCGGTTCCTCCAAAACTAAAAAATGCTAGGGGCAGAAAATAGAAGAGATTTGGACAGAGATTTGGAAGGAAAGAAAATGCTTAAGGAAAATAAAATGTTGGTTCAAACTCAATAAAATAAAGCATATTAGTTGGTTATATTCATTAACCCTCTTTCCTTTTCCCTTTCAGTTTCTGAGGTAAACTCAAACACAACGTAGGAGTATATTTCACATCCTGATAAAGAAGAGCCCGCTATTAGTGATAACAGATAAACTATAAAAAGGACAAATGTTACTTATGGAATATCTGACTATCTCCACAAAGTGGGCTTTAACTTCAAGGCTCATTCTATCGTTTTGCCATGATCCAAACACAGCCTATGGAATATAAAATATCTGACTATCTCCTCTACTTCTAATAAAACTGCATCCATCCAACGTACTTAGATATGTAGTACTATGCAGTTACAAAGACAACTTACCGAAGAGATGGCACATTAATAAGCACCAAACCCTAGACCTCACTCAATGGGAACCAAGCTCCTTCCCCATGGACCATAGGTCATTAGTGTAAAATTGATCATGTTATAGGTAACTATAACATTAACATAACTACACCAACATAACTAGCCAAATGGCACTTTTATACATGCACTTTGATCCAAATAGATTCACACCGTTTTGAACAAACCTCTGTTCAACCATGTTTGCTTATGCTTACCCAACCTAGTGGAGCTTAAGGAAAGAAAAAGTCGGTTGTCTTATCTGCTTTCAATACTGTCCAAATCTTACAAAGCCTATTCTTCTTGATTCGAATCAAAAGGCACTTCTACAGTTTTACACCTCAATGTGAATCAAGATAGAAGGATACATCACATCTCAATGTGTTCCATCTTCTGAACTAAATCATCCACACATACAACACTATTACTAGAGTGAAATCTGCCTAAAAGAATTTACGGAATAATGCCATAAACAGCATAAAACTGCCAAAAGAAAATATAATTCTTCCCAAGAAAAGTTGTGGGGATGTAACTCTACGAATCTATCCAATAAGCAATACTTATTAAGTATTCCGTACGAATTACCAACTGGGAGTGGTTGTCACATGGTTCCATTTTACGCCAGGGATAAATCAAACAAAACTTAAAAAAATCAAACTTTCTATTTTAAGATAGGAAGTTAGGAACAATCAAACATCGAACACTTGATATTACTTGACGGGGGTGAGAGTGGAGAGGGGCGGTGGTGAAGGGATTGCCAAGAGTTTAGCTCCAAGATGCATCATATTTAATCTTCAGTGATGATAACAGTAAATACGTACAATTAGAGGAGGCTTGATGTGGCAAGCTTAGGGGTGAGAGAAGAGCATTGGAGGTGGAAAATCGTTGATGGTGAACTGGCAAATCTTGAAACTCGGATTCGTATCGCCCGCGCCGGCACGGTAGTTTCATTGTTAGCTGAAGCCTGAGTTGTGATAGCTCATAGCTCCGACATCCGAAGGTGTAGGTTTGTTTCACTTTATTTTAATTAAATCTTTTACGCAAGTTTTTTTTTAATTTTTCGACCACTTTATTAATAATTGTGCTCAAATAAAACAAGACAACTATTATGGAACAGAAGTAGTAGTATATTCGGGCCCATTTGTTACGATGTAAAGTAAACATTTTGCATGCAAAGTGTGAGGAAGTAAACATTTTACATTGTTTGTTTTAACTATGTGATGTAAATTGTAAGAAACTTTTTTTAAAACATTTTACACTGTCAAGGTCGCCTGATGAATTTGAAGACATTGGTTTCAAAAGGAGAATTGAGGTCTCCTAAATTAAGAAAAAATAGAAAAGTCAACACTAAAAAACAAATAGGCTAGTTAATTATGTGAAATATAAGTTTTATAATGTTTGAAATACATAAAATAGACTATTTAAAAGTTGTACATCTCTTGGAATCTTGAATAATACATAACGTCTAGAAAAATCACGGTGCCTGATTCTTCTTTTGAGATTTTCTAGATGAACTTGGTTTGGAAATTATGCGCGTTGTTGTTGAATGGCCAAAAAAATGTGCTTCAAGCAGGGGGTTTGTTGAAAGGACACGATATTACTTGTGTAAACATTTTACATTGTAAGGAGTTTGTATGTAAAGAAACATAGACAATCAAACGATGTATTCTTATTTTATATGCAAACTAATTATTGCCCTAAACTTAAATGCAGTCATTTTACGTGTAAAGTTTTAGTGTGTGAACTACCAAACGCGCTCGTAGTATGTGGTATTGTGTATTATTTTTCATTTTTAGATAAAAAAGTATAAAAAAAACTAGTATGCCCTCCTCATTTTATCCTTGTCACCCCTTCGGTCCACCTCATCACGCATAATCCCAATGTTCTCCTTCCATGTCTCTTGTAATCCCTTTTCCCTTCGGAGGGAGTATATTTGTATATTTTTACACTATGGTTTAACATAGAGAAATTGGGGTCTAGATACAATTTTATAATGGAGCTAAAGATTTACTATTTTTTGTCTTGGAAATATGATGGAATAAAGCAAAATGACTCGTTAAACTGTTTGTGCTTCTTTGTTATGAAGCAACAGTTAGTCAATGCAATTTTCGACGCGATTTTCATCATGGATCATCCGGAAACAATTTCTCTGTACTTTAGTACAGGGGTAAGATTGCGTACATCTGATCCGCTTACCCCACTGTAGCTGGGAGCCTTTATGGCACTAGGGTAATGATAATGATGATGATATACAATTTTATAAATTTCCACAATTTTAAAGATCGATTCAAAGTTGAGTGCTTTTCCCCTTATTTGTTGTGATGTACCAGACACATGTTCACATCCCTTAACTATGACATTGAATATGTGAAGATATCTAAATTTATTTATAATTCATGTCATCTAATGTAAAACTGACTAGTCCCTATAATATAGTTCTAGCTCTCATGAATTTTCATTGAATTTTAATGTGGTAATAGTCGCCTTAATCTAAAAGCCCTCTTCAATCTATCTCTGGTTCCCACTGAAATTAGTGGCACATTTAGGCTTTTTATTATTAATTAATTGTAATATATTCAAAGCATCTATAGTGATAGAGGTAAAGAAGAAAAATTATAGAAAGTATTTGATAAACTTAAATGGACTAATGCAACTTTGTTGACAACTTTAATAAACTATAAGATGTTCCTCATGATAAGTGGTGGAGTCGAAATTCAGTTATATACAAAATGAAAATGATGAGTCGTTTTTAGATAATACTCAAGTTGAATTTTCATATTTAGTTTAGATAAGTGACAATTTATGTGAGACTAATAGAGTTGTAGATTTGATATATATGCCATATATATCATAAATTACTTTTATACTTGTGATGGATAATCGACACCCATATTGTATATTTTAAAGAGATTGAACAAGAGTGGAGAAGAAATGATGAATGTGTATATAATGAATGAATATTGCTTATTCTGTTTACAAGCCTCCTATAAGGAGTATATATAGGGAAATCCGGGTCTGGGCCTCTAATATGGGCCGGACAGACCTAGTTACATAAATGAATATGTAAACTATACAGTAATATAATTGTTGTCTGCTGGAGTACGTGAACCGCTGTCCAGGCCCAATAGTAAGCAGACCGGGGGGTCGGAGTCCATATACTCCATCAGAAGTCCTCCACTCCCTGATCCGAGAGTACTCGAGGCGAAAGGGAGTAGTCCACAATTGTATCTGCAACAACGTTCTTCTGTCTTTGGTTTCTTCCTCTTTGGCCGAGGGATCACCACCCTTGTCCATGATGGGGAGGTGTCTCGTTAAAAACTTTTACTAGGAAAAAACCCAGTAGGAAAAAATCCTAATAAAGGGAAAAAGAGTACACCTAGTGCCCCCAACATGAAACAAGGAAGGCAAGTCCCCTTTGGCATAATCAATTTTGTCTAGCTCAACTCCTCTTCATCTGACTCAACTTTCGTTCCTGCTCATGCGTGATATTTTCTGCTCATCTAGAAACTTTGACCCCTCAGTCCCCCAGTCCCCCACTCTTTGAGGCGAGTGGAGACAAGGTGAAAATAAGTAAAGTCATCTTTGTACCTACACATTTAACATACATATTAATTTATTTCCTTGGAATTTATGTTTCCGGTTGGGAGTTTGTTACTTGAAAAAAGTGGAAATGTGAATTGCCAATGTAATGATAAAATACTTAGGGGGTGTTTGGATCTGATTCTCAAAACTGATTCTGCTCCTTTAAGGAGCAGAAGCAGAAGCTGGAGTGTTTGGGTGAAATTCGAGAAGCACTTCTGGTGCTCTAATTTACTCTCAGAATCAATTTTTTTAGAAGCTGGTAGGTACCAACTTCTGAAAACTGATTCTAATTCTGCTTCTGCTTTAAAAAAGAAGCAGAATCGGTTCCAAACACCCCCTTAGTAGTGTGGATGTGTGAGCCATTCGTAAGCAACGGTCGCCACTCGAAGAATGACTAAGACCGGTCTTCGTGCCCGACTTGGTCAGGGCTTTGTGCTCGAGCTGGGTCAGTGCTTTGTGCCCGAGCTGGGTCAGGGCTTGGAATCCTAGTGATGGGTCTCAAGCCACACTTTACTAGGCATTTGGTCATAAGTGCGTGATAGTTTGACATTCACCCGATGAAAAAATGATTCAAATAAATATAAATAATATGAAAATTGAAGAGTACTTATCTTTTTGAAGTGGACTGAAATATTAGACCGTGAGCTGATGAAAAAATTGGACCTGATTCCTTAGTGAGCTGCTCCGCCTAATAACTTTGGCCAGGTCCACGAAACGCTCTAATTAGCTCTGTGGGCGGTGACCAAGAGTGTAGCCTGTCACCTTCCTCTTGTAGGAATCTTTGCAGCGGCTACCAACCGGTGAGGACGGCTGTAGCGCAGCTTCAGGCGGCGATAAATCAGTTCTGGAAAGACAATTCGTCAATCGAGCAGCGGGGCACTGTGTCTGCCATGACTCCCCCTGGCTGTGTAGGAGTCCGTGAAGCTTAAGCACAGCTGTCAAAGTTCTCAACCGCCATTAATGGCGGGCCTTCAGTCCTCTAGGTCGCGGTTTTACAGAAATCCAGGTCATAGATTCGCAGGTTGAGGAGACAAACGTGTGAGAGAGCAGTACTGCATGTTGCTTGAGATTTGAGAACCTCGTAATGGTGTTGAAAATTCAACGGAAGGGTTAAGGGGTCCCAGAGCATAAAGCGGCGTTGAAGTTAATGGTCTAGAAGAATGGGCTCGAGGAACGAGTTGTGAGCAGCGGTTCTGCTTTGCAGGTGGCGGGGCTGGCTGCCGGCGGAGTTCCGACGAGATCTGCAGCGAGCTAGGCGAGGCGGCTATTTCCGGTGGTTGGGTGATGATATCTCCGGCTGGGAGTGTATGGATGTATGGTCTAGTTGCTCAACCAGAAGTCTAGATCTGAAATTTCAGACCCATTTTTGTTCTCTCTGAACTTTTCAGAATGGATGGCGACCGGAGTGCTGGTGGAGCGACCGTGAGCTCGGTGGCTCTGAAACGGAGCTATCAGCAGCGACCGGCTGGATGTGAGGCGGCCGAGCTAGCTGGGAGGGGAATACTTAACACCCCCAATTTCCCACCCAAAATAAACCTTGAAATAATAATTTATGATGAACTTTATTTAGGAATACCTAAAATGTTGCAGCGGAATAACAAAAAGGAAATTGAGCGTGTTGCCGCCACACTTAACATATCCATAGCTAAGTGCACAGGCTAACCAAAAAAAAAATACTTGTCCAAATATTCTAAAGTGAGGGAAATTGAAAAGTAAAGATGTCCTCTACATGTTCTTAAACCAAAAGCTCGTAAAGTAAAGCCTTATTAATGAAGATGTCTCTAAATAGCGCCCTCAAGAACTCAAGCTAGCATATCATCATCCAAAGCATACTCATCTGTAAAGTAAAGAAGAGAAAAGAAAACAAAGAAACAAAAATTAGCCGAAAATGCTAAGTAAGTCCCACCCAACCCCGTAAAATAATCATGTTTGGTACATATATATATAATTTTTGCAAAACATTTTGGAGGAAAACATTTTAAAACATTTTATACCATTCATATGTAAAATAGTGTTTATAAAACTTTTAATCACACAATTCACAAGTAAGATAATAATAATTTTTTTTACATACTTCCAAATCACAAAAAATCCCAAACAAATACCAATATACATCAAAAGGGTGTTATTCTCACGTACAATATCTCCAAAGTAATTTTTCCAATCAAGTTCAACAAAATTCTCCTCTTTGAGCGTCTTAAAAATTCTTTCACTAAACCTCCTAGTAATTTAGAAGGGCGGTGCTCAAGTTCTTATTGAGCCCGGTGATCCGTTGTTATGTACGGCCACTCCGGACTTTTTACCGGTACCACGTCTTACCCCTATAGAATCTGAACCTCTACCTTAAGTGTGCACACCCCCTGAAAGGGATTCCAAGCCCTCCGGGTAGTAAGAAGACCAAAGTAGTCGGGATGTTTTCTACCGACTACTTCACCCAAAATTTAATTCTAAGTGACTAAGTACCGCTACTATTGCCAAAACCAACCAAATATCTATCGTTCGGGATTTTTTTACCGAACGCACCAAACTCATTTACTTAAATTGTTCGAACTGGTTACCGAACCCACCAAGCAAATAGTAGCATCCCTAATCACTCCTTCACAATTAACGATCGTGAAGGGGACCGACACCACGGATTTCTCCCGCGATGCCCACCTTTAGTTTATAAAAACTCATTTAGTCTTTTATCTCCTCCCCAAATTCCATATAGGAATCCTTCACCATTGACGGTCGTGAAGGGGACTGACACCTACGGATTTCTCCCGCGGTGCCCCACCATTGAAAATATTCACTTTTCTTTGTTTTCTCAAAATCCATTCAGAAGTTCGTATCTTTCAAAAATACACTAAAATTTCCATATAATTTTCTCAAAATCCAATTTAATCACAACACCAAAATATTCATCAGTATAAAGTCTCCCAAAAAATCATATACAATAACTCACATCGAAATTCCATAATAATAATTCAATATATCAAGTACAAACAATTTCATAGAATAATATTTACTTAAATTTAATACACCAATATAATTCAAAACATGCACGTAAAAACGTGTAAACTAATTTCGAGGTAAAAGGTATAATTTTGGTTGCAGTGAAACTTACCTCAAGCTCCAAGTATCGTGTAGCTAATCCCCCAATTAGGCACTCTCACCGGTTTATTCACCTTCTATTAAAGAAAACCCGATATAAATCGTTACCCACATTATAGTTTAATCCCTTTTATTCTTTATTCCTATATTTCGCTATTCCTCAAATATTAGTAATATAAACACATCGTAATTGATATAATTTGAATATTATTTAGTTTAATCAACTTAACCGGTATAGCAGTAGTATAAGTCATGTTAGTTTATTCCGATTGAAGTTCGTAATTATTTCTTTTATTCAATTCCCCAAATAATTGATAATGCACTAGCTACTAATTCTGTTAATTATAATTTATTCTAAATCGAATCACTATTTAGGTGATTAATTAGACAAGAGTTAGACAGGAGTTGCGTGATTCACTAATAATCATTAAATTAAGCTTACTATATACTTCCTCCGTTCTTTTTTAGTTGCAACGGTCAACATTTCACACTTGCCAACGCACATTTTTTGACCGTAATTATATCTTAATCTCTATCAGTAAAAAATATTTAAAAAATAGATTTTGAAAACTTGTAATGAGATGAATTGAACAATATTTTTAAAAAAAATAATTTTCATAAAATAATAATATGAAATGTACTAAAAGTAGAACATGTGAATAGTGTAAAATTCAACATGTTGCGATTAAAAAGAGACGGAGGATAGTACTATCTATCTCTGACACATGCCAATTACGATAGTATGTTGCATTACTATTTTAGTTTATAATACAGTAATCGTCCAAGTATTCATATTAAGGTGTAATATTTACTAATTAATATAATATGTTTGATCAATTTATTACACGGTCCATTGCCTACTAATAGTTCAATCGATCCAGCCTTAACTGAAGGTAGCCAACATTCGTACTTTAGTTTAATCAGTCCATTCTTCAAGATGTCAGTTTTAACTTTCGGGTTTATTTTACTAATTCCTTATTAGAGTTAATTCAATATAGTTTCCTCATATAATTGTTCCAATCGGATTCTTATTTATAGATAGTCCAGTTATTTTCAATTAAACAGTCCGGTCAAACTAATGTACTTCGTATGAAATAAACTACCCAACAAGACGATCTAGGTCACTAGGCGTGGTGTATGATGTAGGTTCATAGTCGTGGTCTTCTTTACGTAAGAACGCAGGTGTCGACGCATACCTCAAAGACGACTGACGTACGTATGACAAGGTGGTAGCGGGCGGCGGTGGTAGCGGCGAGTTTTCTGGCTGCAGTGAATCTCCGACGGTCCACTTTACGAACTCTTCCCCCGACGGTGGTTCACTCAATCTTCTCCTTACTCAAGGTCTCGAGTCTTACGTTCCATCCTTTTCTTTCTCTCGCACTCTTTCTTTTCTTTATTTTTCTGTCTCGTTCTTTTATTTTTGGTGCCACCTAAGTCTCGATCGTAGTGATGCTATTTATATGAGCAGGCCGAAGGTTCTAGGTCAAGAGATTGTAAGGAAACGGATCTATGGCATTTACTGCACTTTCCTTCGCTGGCTTTAACGCATGCGTTATACGCAGAGAATTCGGCGAGCATATATAAGGAACGGGCCGAATTATATTCCTACGTCGGCATTAGTATTGCTATGTATATTGCGTATGTACGTAACATGACATGTGTGTGTTATCTATCCATATATGTACTCATATTTTAATGATGGATGTGTGAGTGTATTTGCTTCCGTGCGTTAAATGTATTATTGTCCTACTTCTCATTTTTATTTTATTGACATCACATAAAGTATCTGATCTAATATTTATTTTTCGTTTTACTTCTATTTATATATAAGAAAAGAAATAGCTCATTAAAAGACAATTATGCCCTTCATTAATCCTATGTGTCCATCTCTCCACAATTTGCTCATTTGATATAAAAATGCCACGTGGCCACTTTTTTACTTCAAAACTACCGAACCAAGGAAAGAAAGAGGCGGAGAGATGGGGTTGGTGGGGCCCAAGTTGTAAAAAATTCCAATTTTTTTAAAGTGTTATAACTTTTTCATTTTTACTCCAATGTTTACAAAAATTATACCAAAATTCATATTTTTTTGTGATCTTTCATATGAGATTAATATTGAATATATAAAAATATAATTTATTATATGGTCTCTATAATTATGCTTAAAATTATATATATTTATATACTTCTTACGTTCCACAAAACTGATCTTTATCTTTAACATATGATCTTTATCTTTATTTTTTTATCGATATTATAAGAAACAAAGTTTTCCTTTAAAATCATTTCAGACAGAATTTAATCAATTTTGGTAGATTCAGACAATTTCACTTTAAAAACACCATCAATTTATATATAAGAAAGTAATAGACTTAAATATAAAATTCTTCTACACTAATTAAATATGAAAATGTTAATTTATGCATTGGATTAAATATAATAAAAATTGGAGGGGCCATCCATATAAAAACAACCCATTTTCTGTAAAGTGTTATAACTTTTACATTTTTGCTCTATTTTTTGCAAAACATATATCGAAATTCATATTTTTTATGATCTTTCATATGAGACCAATATTGCATATAAAATTTTAAAAACAAAATCCGAAGGTTTATTAAGTAACCTATTTATAATTATTTTTAAAATTATATCAAAGTGACTATCTCAGTGTAATTATAACCAATATAATCATTTTTATATTCACAAATATCTATTGCAAAGGTTATTCCTTATAGTTAGTTTGATATAAATCTAAAACATAATTATAATCATTAAAAGTTAATAGGTCACATGTTATCTACTATACTTATTTGGGTCATAGTTATAGATTATTTCTTTACTTAATTCGAGATGATTGATATCGTTGTTAAAAAATAGGAAGTTGTTTGATAAACCTTCAAAAAAGTGCAATATTACTGTCATATGAAACGTCACAAGAATTATGAATTTTAATATATTTTAGTCCTTGATAAATATAGTCATGTAGTCTATTTATATATATATAAGAAAAAAATAGCTCATCTAAAGACAATTATATCCTTAATAAATCCTATGTGTCATTCTCCCCACAATTACTCCTCTACTCTACAAATGCCATGTGTCGAATTCAAGGATAATAATGAAGTAACCGAACACACAAATATAACAAAGGAAGGTCACCTTCTATATTTATTTAAAAAAAACGTGGCATTAATTTGTAGGCACAATATATATAAAAACACCATTTCTTTTAAACGGTTATAACTTTTTTAGCATTTATCTAATTTTTATAAAAAGTATATCAGAATTCATAATTCTTCACGATCTTTCATAAGACACCAATATTGATATATATAATTTTAAAACAAAATCTGAAGGTTTATTAAACAACTTCTCATTTTCCAACCTTAATACTGATTATTCCGTATTATATAAAGAAATAATTTCTAATATAAAAATTATATCAAAATTCATAATATTTTAGAATCTTTCATATGACACTAATATTGGATATATGAAGGTTTATTACTATCTTCCCATTTTCAAACCTCAATACACATTATTCCGTATTAAACCAGCAAATTTATTTTATTCAACCAGAATGTCATCAATTAAGGTATATTAAGCAATTTTCCGTTTTACCAAACAAATTCTAAATAACAATCTAAATGGAAACGATGTATATTCTAAATAACATTCTAAAGGAAAAATCTATCAATATATATTTGCGATAAAAAAATTATAATGTAACTAACTAGGCTATGAGTACGCTTTTATAATCACTTTAATATAAGATAAGAAATAATTATAATTGCCAAAAGTTAATAAATCACAATTTTATCCGCCACTATCCTTATTTTGGTCGTATTTATGAATTATTTCTGTATTTAATACAAAATAATGTGTGTCGACTGTCGAGGTTGAAAAATAGATAGTGTTTAATAAACCTTCAAAAAAAATTAAATTTTGAATTTACAATATTGGTGTTATATGAAAAATAAGAAAAAAATATGAATTTTAATACTCTGGAGTATGTTTTTTGGTATATGCGCTGGATTGTATAGTATAATAATCGGAAGGGAAAAATAATTAAAATACCCCAAACTTTCAAGGGGTGTGAGGTAAGCACCCCAAACTTGCACATGTAATATAAATACCCCAAACTTTATATAAAAAGCTATTTTAGCACTATGCTCATGTATTATTTCTTGGGAAAATGGAAACTAATAATCCAACCTTTTAGCGGTCTTCTTACAATAGTCCCACCTTTTCGTTATTCATGAATAATCCAACCTTTGCACCTCATCTTCATTCACTGGTCCCTGACCGGTTGATGATCTGCTATTTCAAGTTATTTTCTTATCTTTGCAAACCATTATACCATAAATCTCACTTTTCACAAAGATAATATTTTGCAAAGATAAGAAAATAACTTGGAATAGCAGATGCATGAAGTTACTTTAGATGGTCATTTTAGCTATACTTTTCAGTCTAAAATTTCAGACACCAACTTCTCATTCTCCAACCTTTATTAACTTCAGGGACCAGTGAATGAAAATGAGGTGCAAAGGTTGGATTATTCATGAATAACAAAAAGGTGGGACTATTGTAAGAAGACCACTAAAAGGTTGAATTATTAGTTTCCATTTTTCCTTTTTTCTTTCAAAAATGCTACTTTTTGGTGTTAATTTCATAATTACAAATATTTTACCATTCATGAAGATACAATTAACATTCTAAACTTACATTATGAAATAAATCGTATTAACCCTTCCACTCCATATAATTGCAACATTTTTAATTTGCTATTTTAAATTATGCAATTAACACCATAAATTTATATTTTTGAAATAAATAATACATGATCACGGTGTTAAAATATCTTTTTTAAAAAGATCGGGGTATTTAAATCACTTATGAAAGTTTGGGGTGTTTATCTCACACCCCTTCAAAGTTTGGGGTATTTTAATTATTTTTCCCTAATCGGAATGATTATGGTTGTAGTTAATTTTTTGTTAAATGTCTGAAGTTACTTTAGATGGTCATTTTAGCTACTTTTCATATACTTTTATTTTATTTTATAATGAGAATGTATTTTAAAATACAAATGTTTCATAATTCAGCAGATTCGACCAATTCAGTCACAACTTCATCATTTGCGATAGATTCAAGCAATTTCAGTTTACTAAACGGACTCTAAAAAACATTCAAAATGAAGAAGATGTCCAATGTGTAATAAACACCATTTTCTTCTAAGTGTTGTAATGTTTTCATTGTTTCTCTATTTTTTTTTATAAAATGGTAGTGTAAATACTAATATTGTCATTGTAAAATGGTTTATAAATGGCACATGGTGTATTAAAGTTACTTAACGAGAGTCATACCACACATCTATTCTTCTATTTATATACTCCATAAACAACTTTTATTTTTTCTTTGACCTGAAAACTTTGTCATTTCTTTTTTAAAGTAATAAATTTGTTGTTCAACCTATTTTGATCTCCACTACACAAACAACAATTACACATTTTTAAAACCCCCTTTTTAAGCCGGCTAACAATTGAGCGGGAGAGTTCTCTCTCTCTCTCTCTCTCATATGTAGTGGTTTTAGCTATAAGAAGATAAGCTTGCTAATAATTGAGCGGGAGAAACCACTCTATCATAGGTAGTGCTTTTAGGTATTATTATAAGATAATCTTACTAACCATTGAGCAGAGGAATTGAGCGGAATAATTTTCTCTCTCATGTGTAGTGCTTCTAGGTATTAGAAGATAATAAGATAATCTTACTAACAATTGAGCAGAGCAATTGGCAGAGGAATTGAGCGGAATAATTTTCTCTCTCATGTGTAGTGCTTTTAGTTATTAGAAGATAAATAAGCTTGCTAACAATTGAGGGAGATAATTTTCCCTGTAGTATATAGTGCTTTTAGGTATAAGATAAACCAACTGCCAAATTAGCGGGTGAATTTTCTCTCTCATATGTAGTGATTTTAAGTATAAGAAACTAGATAAGCTTACTCTTATTGAGCGGGAAAATTTTCTCTATCTTATGTAGTGCTTTTAGATATTAGAAGATAAGTTTGCTAACAATTGAGCAGGGGAATCGAACGGGATAATTTTATCTCTCATATGTAGTGCTTTTGGGTATGATTACATGATTAGAAGATAAGCTTGCTAACAATTGAGCAAGATAATTTGCTCTCTCATATGTAGTGTTTTTAGGTATAAGGAGATAAGAAAATAAACTTTCTTACAATTGAGCGGAAGTTAGAACAGAGACTATAATAGGTTAGAAAGTTTTGCCAAAATAAAACAATTGAGCGGAAGAACTTTCTCTCTCTTTTAAGTATAAAATAATCCGGCAAACAATTGAGCAGTGAAAATTTTATTCTCTCATATATAGTGCTTTTAGGTATAAGATAAACTGCCTAGCTAATAATTGAACGGGAGAATTTGCTCTCTCATATGTAGTGATTTTAGTTATGAGGAGATAAGAAAATAATTTTCTAACAATTGAGCGGAGGAACTTTCTTTGTCATATGTAGCTTTTTTTTAAGTATATGATAATTCGGCTAACAACTGAGCATGCTAATTCTTTCTCTCATATATAGTGCTTTTAGGTATAAGATAATCTGGCTAACAATTGAGCGGTAGAATTTTCTCTCATATGTAATCCTTTTAAGTACTCATTAAATATATCGGCTAACAATTGAGTAGGACAATTTTCTCTCTCTAATATATTAGCACTAATTTAATTAACGATTAACAAGTTGCCATTTAACTAATATTTGTGAATTTTAATATTTATTGTATTCACTTAAACTTTATGTCATTTACGTATTGTACTCACTATTTTAGAATAGTGTTTGATTTTAAAATTATTTTAATAATGAAAATTAATGGGTAGCAAATTCTAATGAGTGGTGTCAATTAATTTTTTCTAATATACTCTTTATTGAATATTTATTGTATGACTTATACTTTATGATATTAGCTTATTGTAATTACTCTTATTTCTCGAAAATATAGACTCCCAAAAAGTTATTTTTATTTTAATATTTAATTAGATCATGGGTAAAAATATATGCACCAACTGCTTTCTCCCGTGCGTATGCACGGGTACTATACTAGTTTGTCAAATAATTTATATCTAGTTTATTTCTATCAGACAGTTATATCTATTTTTTAGAGTGTCACATTGATGGCCTTCGTTGTGTGCCTCTCTCCACTGCGGGCCGGATCTGGGTTGGCTCAGACCTGGACGGAAAACCTCCGGTCGTTAGGTTCTACAGGGTGCCGGTTCCAAGGAACCTACGCTGCTCTGTTCGCAACAACCTGGACAACATCGGTGCCGGGCCAGCTGCGTCAACAAGAACTGAAGGGATGCAGTGAATGGCAGGTGGCTCTGGCTCAGATTTGAGAACGGCTGGTGGCTCTGGCAAGCTTCTGCTATGGTGTGTGACGACGGTGTTGGACCGGCAGTGACATCTCCGATCAGGTCTGGATATTCCAGATGTGAATTCCCAGACTTTTTTTTTGTTTTTCAAACCTCTCAACGAGAGCACCATTTGATGAATAATCCATACCCATATTGTATAATTTAAAGAGATTGAATAAGAGTGGAGAAGAAATGATGAATGTGTATATAATGAATGAATATTGCTTATTCTGTTTACAAGCCTCCTATAATGAGTATATATAGGGGAATCCGGGTCTGGACCTCTAATATGGGCCGGACAGACCTAGTTACATAAATGGACTGATAGTATAAAAAACTAATCTAGTACATACAATGAATATGTAAACTATACAGTAGTCTGCTGGTGTGCGTGAACCGCTGTCCAGACCCAATAGTAAGCAGACCGGGGGGGGGGGGGGGTCGAAGTCCATATACTCCATCAACGTGTATTCGTAGTCGACGGATTTCCGCACCAGAGGCTGCTTCGGTTGAGATCCTTTATCTTATCCCAGAAATCTACAGTTCTCCCCTCACCCGGCTTAAAATCAAGTTTCCAACCACAAAAGAATCGACTATTGAGTAGACACTCATAGTGGTAAGATATGTTGTCCTTGTTCTGTATATGGGTAATGAGTTAATTATACGTTATTTAGAAAATTTGGAAATATAATCAATATTGCATCTAAAATTTTACTCATTTTAAGTTTAGATAGTGCTGATTTTCCAGAAGACGTAACTATTTACTCGTAATAAGTTACAAGAGTCATTATATATCAAATCGAAGGTATTTCAGAGTTTTATACTCTCAAACTTGTAGGTGGATTGGTTGACCACCCTTGACTCCATCCCTACTCATGATTAAGTATAGTAGAATACGTAGACATGAAATGATTTTTCTTAGAAAGGACCATGGTTGCGGGAGTAAAATGCTTGTAGTCATGCTACACTGGTCATTTTATAACTGAGAGTAAACTGATGAGCTCTTTTATGAGAAGAAAGAAAATGCACTTTCATTCAAATACTGTAATATTTGTTTTTATTTCTTAAAGGAGCAAAATTAGTTTTTAGAAATAGACAAAATACCCCAACACCCCATATACTCTCATACAATGCACCAAATCTGATTATCAAATTTATGGAAAATCGAATTTGCAATAGAGAGTGAAATTAGTGTGTTTTTACCTGAACGGTTTCTAGTCCTAGACCAAATCAAACTTCGACAATTATAATAAAATACTCATAGATCACACATTTATCAGACCAAGCAATATCAGACTAAACTTAAACAGATTAGATCAATCCAATTAAAAACATCACTTAACCTTACAACAATTATCCCAATAGGACTAAATGAAAACATAATTGCACAAATAGGACTAAAGCCTAAATCTTTGACAAGTAAGACTAAACATTAATTTTATACCCTTAATACCCTAATCTGATTAATTAATTGCCCCCCTAATTTCCTTGAGCAACCGGGGCAATCCGTTGGTGGTGGCGGTGACCGGCGACCGTGCCAGGCTGTCTAATTCTAAAAAAATCTAGACTTTTTTTTTCAACCAGAGCTCCGGTGGTGGCGGCGACGGGCATGGTAGGTGGCAAGTGGTGACATGTGGTAGGAGGTGCATTTTTGTCCAATTACAAAAAAGTCATATTTTAGCAATTTTAAAACTACTACTCCCATTTAATACTAGTGGCGAGAAGTAGAAAGACGTCATCTTCCAATCCGTTCCGATCGTTTCACGGGAAAGGAGGGAGGATTTGTCGTCTCTGGTCTTACTCTTCTCCGTCAACAGTGATTCAGTGATATCAACGCTCAGAGATTCTCGGTAGAGGTCTGATCCAATTGAATTGTTCTTCCTTTCTAGTTGTGTTGCTTTTGTTCAATGGCGGTTCTTTACCGGACATAGGTGGTCCTGAGTGTTTTGTCTCTCTCAATGTGAGGAGTTCTGTTAGTGTCTCGATTAGCTTCGTTTGGTCAGCGGTTTCCGTGTGCATTCTTTTAGAGTTCATAGACATTGATAAAGTTCGTCACCCTCCAGAATCACCTCTGTGTTATGAGTAGTATTTGTTTTTATTTTAGTTTGAGTACGTTTGATTTGAAAATTTTGATAGACAATATTTTAGTCCCAATTATTTTGGGCTTTAAATTTCTCATTCTGTGTCTAACAAATGAGATTGTTTTGAATGAGGTGACTGATTTTATGTCTATTTTCATGACTCATAATTGAATATTCCCTCCGTCCCATTGGACTTTTCCAACTTTCTTTTTTTTACTTGTCCCAAAAAACTTTGCCATTTTCCTATTAAAGCAACTAATGTGTGGTTCTGCACATTTCTCTCTCCTTTGCACAAATTTCCATCACACAATTTTTACTATTCTCATTTCTTACACGTGTATTTTTTCTTGATTTTATAAAAGCGTTCTTTTATACTCTTGTTTTTCGTTTTTAATCTTAGAGCATCTTCAATGCAAAAACGTTAACGGTGTATATGTGGCATGAGAGATAGCCAATCAAAAAACGATAAATAAAATATCTCTCTCCTTATTTGAAGGATCTTATATCATTTTGGTAAGTTTTTCTTCACAATGTCAAGCACAATGTCTAGAAGTAGACATTGTGGTTGACATTGCAGAGAAAAACTTACCAAAAACACATAATACCGTGGAAAGACGGAGAGAGAAACGTCATAAAAACAATATTTTGTGTCTATCTCTCTCATGCCACATGTGCACCGTGCACATTGTAGCATTGGAGATGCTCTATGTAATCCAGTTGGGATGACCATGTACTTTCCTTATCTCTCCTCTTCCAGAGCATGACTTCAAATATCTCTGTCTAAGTTCAGGGCTTTAGATTCCGTTATATTCTGCGACCACTAGTATACGTTTCTCTGGAAATCCTCAGCGATGGAGTTCATGAAAAAACGGAAGCTCGAGGAAGACGGCGCCGTACCCGACCCATCCTTTCCCACCTCACTGTCGCTCGAAGATGCACGCAAAATCATCGAGCCCTTCACCCGCGATCAGCTTCTCGACATCGTCCAGAACGCCGTCCTGCATCACTCGGACGTTCTCGGCGCTGTACGTTCTATTGCCGACCGGGACACGACGCAGCGGAAGCTTTTCATTCGCGGTCTTGGTGGGGAAACTACCACGGATAAGCTTCGTGCTCTCTTCTCCACATACGGCGAGCTTGAAGAGGCTGTGGTCATCCTCGATAAAGCTACTGGGAAGAGTAAAGGTTACGGCTTTATCACCTTCAAACATATTGATGGAGCCGTGCTTGCTCTAAAGGAGCCTAGTAAGCAAATCGATGGTCGAATGTCTGTCACGCAGCTGGCAGCTACTGGAATGTCGGGTGGACCCGGGGCCGGGAGTTTGAATAATCCCGTGGATATATCCTTGAGGAAGATATATGTTGGGAATGTGCCCTATGATATGCCCACCGATAGATTGTTGCATCACTTCTCGGGTTATGGAGAGATAGAGGAAGGGCCACTAGGGTTTGATAAAGTTACTGGGAAATCTAAAGGCTATGCTCTATTTGTGTATAAGACAGCTGAGGCAGCAAGGGCATCAGTGATGGAACCTGTCAAGAATATTGACGGGAAGCAATTACACTGTAAAATGGCTATTGATGGAGGAAAGAAAGGAAATTTTGGACCACCCGGACCAGGAGGAGCTCAGGTTTCAAGGGAGGGTTTTGATAATAATAATGGTTTAGGAATGCAGAATGGTATAGGAGCTCATTATGGAGCTCCAGGAGGGGTTGTTTCAGGTGCCGGTCAAGGGGTTTTTTTCCCGGGTTCCGGAGGTTTCTCTGGAGCTATGGGTGTGCATGCTCATAATTCAACATTGAGTGGTGTGGGTGGGACTGGTGTTAACTTGGGTGGCCCAGGATTGCCAACTCCTGGCAGTCAAGTGGCAGTATCCCCTATGGCTATGGGTGGTCCTAGTTGTGTTCCTTACAACAGACCAAATTTCAGCATTGGTGGTGGTTCAACTGGATATGCTGGGTTTAGCAACCCTACTGGTGGGTTAGGTGGAAGCACAAATGGATATGCACCCCCTGTGCCTGGCAGTGGTGGACCAGGTGCTGCCATTGGCACAGGCTCTTCCTCATATGGGTTACCTCAAAGCAAAGCCGGAGGAGATTATCCTTCTCAAGGTATGCATTACAACTTGCCTTCATCTGGAAATCAAAACCAACACAATCAACCAGCTGGGGCACCATCACTGCCTAGAGGCATGCCCGGGGCCATGTACCAAGGGATGCCTTCTTACTATTGAGGTAATCCTACTTCATTTATCCCTTGATTTATTAACCCCGCTACCAGATTACTGTGCTTACTTGCTCGAGAATTGTTACCTTTCTCCTGTCCTTTTCTTATTCTTTGAGATTCTCATGTTCCTTGTTCACAGTGTCACTTGCTCTCCTAATGGGTACATCTCTCTTTATGGTGTGCTTGTTTGTCAATGCATTTTCAGTGACACATTCAATTTAACATTGAGTGCTGTTCAGCTGTTCTCTGTCCTGGCGGTTTCTGCATTTTATAGCGTAGTTAATTCCTGGTTTAAATGTTCTGCTCATGGTCGTTGTGCAAATCGTTGATTGTATGAGAACCTGGCTAGACTTATTTTTCACTGGTTTTTGCTGTTTGTTTGAGGTTCTGCATTTCAGTTTTCATTGCACTCATTTGTCAAAAAGATTTACGATTGATTATATATTGAACACCTTTGTTTGCACAGTCTATGCTTTTTTGTTTGTTGTTCTATGGGTTACTGTTACATACTTAATCAACAAATATCTTCTGCATATTAGTTCCATACATGCAAATGATGCAATCCAACTATAGTTTGTTACAAAATCCCAGTATTTATATGAAAACTAGTACTACTGTGTTAATGATTATTCTGTTAAGAATGTGTTGGTGATCCTCAAAATCCATATCATTAATGAAAAGGATATATGTATATATGATCCTTTGCAGACATTGAAGTAAATACTGCAAAGTGGAACTGGTTATATCAGGATTCCACTGTACCAATGCTTTTCTTATAAGCTTTGTTGGGTCAACCAGATTCAAGACTTTTGGCATCTATTACATAACTTAGTACTACAGCTCACAAAAAATGACAAAATTGTCTGGTTGCTTTCTTTCGTTATCTGATCCGCTGACTACTAGTCTGAAGTAGTGAAGTACTATCTATTAGTTGTGTATTTTATGGATACACTTTAGCAATGTCTCTTAAATGTTCTTTCCTATTGGTTGTAGAGTGCTTATTAAGATGCAAATGGATGCTTAAAGCTGTTTGACAACTTGTCGGCGCAATTGATTTTATTGGTTCTGCGGTGAATGCTGGCAATTTGATATCTGGCTTGATGCTTTTCATTTGCAGTGTACTTTGGCATCATCTTGACTTCATATGCGCTTATGATGTGATCCTTTGTAATTGTTAAACTTTCATATAGAGTAGTGCTCTGTCTTGTAAGGAGCCCATCCTCCTTCCAAAGCTTCACTTTTGTAACTGCACTTTATGAGTTTTGTCTTCTAAGTACTTTATCATAATATGAATGGCTGCTGCACTTGATGCTTCTTTTTTCTTTTGGTTGTTGCTGGATATCGTCATTTTGCAAATTAGCTCAATGTTTGTATTCTATGATTTAATAATAGGGTAAGATATCTCTGATATTGATCTATGTTTCTGTTTTTGGAGGTCCCAACATTGACAAAGTAATTCTTGATGTTGATCGGTATTTTCAGTATATTCATCGCTATTTCAATATTTTTATCAACAATGTCCCTCAATGCAACAACAACCAAGCCTTAATCGCAGGTCGGCTATGTGAACCAATAAAAGGTCACTGAAGATCATCAACTAAAGTCATATTTTTTCGATCTTTTATGTCATGCATCATATGCTCACTAAGCCTCAACGTGCTGATCTCCTTTTTTACACCTTCAATCCTAGTCATTGCTGACCTACCAAACTTCTATTTAAGTCTCCCACGCTCCAGAACTCCTGCTCTCTCCACAGATGTTCTTACTTCTCAAAAATTAATGTTCCCTTACAACGCAATCAGTTCTCCCTTACTCTCTATCTTTAAAGAGTCTACACTCCCGTGAATCTCCTCGTTTGCATTCTATATTTTTAACTTTGTATTTAATGACTTAATGAGAGCTATTACTTTATGCTCTCCCATAGTGTAAACAATTGTAGATGATAAGTTATGATTGAACACCTAATGTCTTGAAATGTAAAGCATAAAATCTGTGGTTGAATTATGAAATTCACGGTTGGGTTCAACGTCAACATTAAATGACTTTTAGCTGCGTCCTCAGTTTTCACATGAGCAGGCCCATATCCTAATGAAGTATAAGCCTTTTGAGAATAGTTGAGGTCTGGTGAATGGTTAAGAACCCTAGGCTATAGGATTTATAGCTATCAAACAAAGCTGAAGCCTGAAAGTGAACCCTAATTTGATGTGAAAACATTTTGCTATTTGGTGGAACATCTCATTTTTATTTTTCTATCTGGTATTTCTGAGAAATTTCCTAATTGATGTGATTATATTTATATATGATATTCAATTATATGAGTGTATAATAATGATACTAGTATGTTTTGCTCTGCCCATTTTGCTCTCAGATACTTGAAATACATTATAAATAGATGGGGCTGTTGAGACTTGAGAATCCTAATACAGAATGAGATCATGAAAGAATGAGTTTACTTGAAACTGGAAATTTTGAAAGCTTTGATAATTTGATTGCATGAACATTTCCAAAAATGATTAGGCATAATTAGAAGCACTTTAACCATCCAACAAAATACAAGACTAATCAAATTTCTTGATGCAAAATCCGGTATTTCTTCGCAGTGTTATGAAACATTGTACTTCATGCAGGACATGCAATAATTTTCTCACCGAGTAAATTTTTTACCCCTATTTTTGAAAACAAAGAATAAAAAAGTGTGTTTACTCAACAACTCTTCCATTTTGAGAATGAAAAAAATATTCTTTAACTCTTCTACTTTCTCTAAATTTTGTTAAATGCTACCCCCCAAATGAAACACTATTTGATAAAAAAACTCACAACATGTCACAGTTGGAAGCTAGGATGATTACCAGAGGGGATAGGCGACAAAGCTCCGGGATAATGTTTAATTGGATTTGAGTTATTTTGAAATGTATGGTTGCTTGAGATGCACAGGAAGTTTAACGCATAATATAATAGTTAATAAGACTGAATGGATACCCTTAGACCTTAGTTGATGAGCATCAAAGCTTTGGTAAGTAAAAGTGAGTGGTGGACTACTGAACTTTTTAAATGGCATCTTATATTCTGATCTCTGAGATTAAAAGTAAATGGATAAATTGTATTAAACTCCATTAACTTTTTGTTTGAATAAAATTTGATGTTTGTACTTACCATTGTTTTTTGTACAAAAGCTACGCTTTAATTTGTGCTTTAAATTATAGCACAGCAATGTTTCTCCTGTGCACTTTTACTTCAAAGAAACTTCAGTGGTAAGGACCATTTTTATGAGATTGGTGGCGGGATACTGCTCAGGGTTTCGTGAAATGCTTTGAATATAAGTAATGCCTCCAGCTGTCTGCATATGGTGGAGGCTGAAGCTGCTATAGTTATGCTTCATCTATATCGACTTGTTTAATGTTCAGTTTTTCATTGTTAAAAAACTTCATCCACAGTAATCTTTTCGATACTAGTAGAATATTTTAAGATAATTGAAGCTAAAACTGATTGGTGATACTATTGTGATTCCGTGTTACTGTGATTGGTGATACTATTGTGATTCAGTGTTACTCTGTGCATCTATAGTGCTTCTTTTTAAGGGTAAAGTACAAGGGCCCTTAGTCGTAAATTATCAAGAAATCATGTTGCCCCCTACATTCCTACAATAATTGCTTATGATAATCTTGTAGCAATAGTGCATAGAAAATCTCGTTCCATGTGTCTGGTAATCCTGGTAAGCACCAGTGGATGCAGTCTGCATAATTTTTGGGATCCGATTTTTGTGTTTTTGTCAAGAGCTTTCCTTTTCGTTCTCCAAAGACTGATGTATGTGCATCTTTGCGGTACTCAGACAATTGGGTGATATTTAGCATTCTTACGTTAACATGTAGCTTTTCTGTAAGCTCTCTCACTGCTTCCATTATATTAAGATTGGAACCTGTTCCCCAATATGGCCCTTGAATTGGGTGTGTTTCATTGAAGCAGTTCCCATCATCACTTCCAGCCTTCCATTCCCATTTCCTGAAATATTTTGCTGTTTCCATCAAGTACTATGTTTTAGTTCAAAACCGTTCTCTCTACTTTTAACATTTGTTTGACGTGACTTGGTATTGTGTGAGTCTTAAGTGTAGTGGCATTTAGATTGTGTTTGGCATGACTAGATGAAAATTTAAATGGCAAGTACAAGCTGAGGATGACGTGTGGATGGAATATATAAATATGTATTGACTAAATATGATAAAAGGCATATTTTAGAAGTAAATATGATTTATAAGGAAAAGATATATAAACATGAATTGAACATACAAGAGGGAAAGACTGGAATCTAGTAGATGAAAATGAGAAAATAGGTACACTTGCAGTAGCTTATCTTTTCCCATATCCTCCCTAATTTTCATAACAAAGGGAGAATATCAGGGTAGGGTTTCGTGAATATTAAAATTATATCAAATTTGTCCTCTAGTAATCTACCCTTCAGTTATTCAATATTTCAATTGGGGGTAATTTTACCATTACCTGAATTCTTTCCTAACTCTGTATCTACTGCATATATCCTTGTCACTTTTTTGCAAGGCGGTAGTTAAATGTTAATATTACAATTTTGTTGTTTTGATTTTAAAATTATTCTCAAAAACTTACCACAAATGTGTAGGAGACATGGTGACAAAGAAAACCTTCTGCCTCTCAGGGTTTATGCTAGATTCTATCCAACTTGCCCATGTCTGTAATGCCAGTCTATATGCAATAGTCACATCAAATTCCTTGACATTGTCTGTTGACCCATATCTGGTGAGAAACATGTGAACATTCTTTCAGAAATAATTTCGGTATTTGATATGTAACTGCTAAGTTTGTTTTTAGGGTACATACGTTGCATTAATCAAGGGTGTGCTCATCCACCAAACATAGCTTTCAAATGCTAGTATATCCACTCCTTCCCATTGCTTGCTATGTGCTTCAATGGAGTCTAGCTTCACCATTCTTTTCGATACAGTGTGATTTGTTGCCTGATCTGAGATGGACTCTACTAGGAAGGGAGCCCAGTAGTACTCTATTGTTGCATTGAAATCCTGTAAAATTCATGTTGTACAAATTTCTTAGTTACTGCTAGATGACTCTCTTTTGACTGTGGTAGGGGCTCACTATCTCCACACAAATGCTGATGTCATAAAGTACAGTTTTTTATTCTCTTGACTATGGTAATCACAAACACTGTCAATCACGAGCAACCAAAACATTCTACACGCAAATACTCCCTAAACCTCTTACCTAAGATTATAGAGCTTGGTTTCAATAATAGGATCAAAAGTCATTGATTTGCTTTTCTTTTGTTTTATTTTGTGTTTGATAGCATCAAACAGTTGGTACATGTCAATGATACAAAGCTCGGGTCATTTATTTATTGTTGTTAACCGACATTGATTGTATCATAAAGGTTTTATCTTACCTCAATCTTGAAAATCTTTCTAGGGGGCACTTTTTCAAGAGATTTCCTTCCTTCTGGGATTGCAGACTCAACTAGACAGACCATTGACTCAAACATTCCTCTCTGTAATGAGTCCCCTACAAACATCAGCCTTTTGTCCCTAAGCATCTCCAACATCTTCAAAGCATTGTACCTGAAAAGGAATTGTGGCACCTCGTAACACAAGTCATCAACAACATACACATCCTTAATCCTAACACAATGAGGTCAGATACCCGAAGCAAGGTATAATCATATTACCAATTCAATTTTCATTTATTTTTCACTATCAAGTGCTATGTGCTCCTGAGGCCTGATATATACCTCAAAGTAGCTTCTTGGAAAGATCTTGTTTAAACTCAACATTAAGGTTGAGTCTACTACTTCCATGCTAAAAAAGTCCTATTTCAAGAACATTTGTCTTCACAAAACAAGAAACCGGTTTTAAAAGTTAAATTTCACTTCAAGTAAAATTCATGCAAAGCCACAAAACAAGAGATTTTAGTCAGTTACTTCAAACAATCTTGGGGAATAAGTTTTACGGTTATAAAGATTTATATCTTCTGAAAGCTTGTATATCATACTCAATCCGGAACCGGCATTAGAGTGCGGGTTTGGCCCCCATAACAAAAATTTCTGCATAAGACGGTGGTTATCAAGAAAATTGTGTACACAGGTTACTGATCCTGTCTTGTTGATCCAATGTGCATAAGAAATTTGTACATATCTATTCTAAGCACACTATTTAAATAGGTACTTGTCGACCTTGAGTGTCAACAGATGAAAGATTCAGTTTTGTGTGCTGGGTTTATCAATGATTTACTAGCTAGGATTTGTATCTTTACCATAATCTCTCTCTCTCTCTCACATTCATTGTGTGCGTGTGTGCTGCTTGAAATACCTTGGTAGTGTGCAACCTTTTGGTTGCCATCTCCAGTTTTGATAGAAGGAATCAGGCCGCCCATTTCTTTGGCAAGTGACCTGTTTCACCAAATAGGGGCAGCTCTCTTCGGTATAAAGAGGATGGCTCACATTGTCCCATACCCATTTCCCTTCAAACACATTGCATCCATGTTCAATAGTCTCATCTGCAGAGACATTTATAGGCGCTCCAAGAAATCCATTTCGCGAAGACTGTCCAAGGGGGCGAAACTGGCTGTTTCTAAGGTTATCCAGACAGATATGTACCGCTCCAAGTATGAGGAGAGAAGCCATTGCAACAGGGACGATAATTTGTATCGTCTTGATCATTGAGGCTGCTGAATGAAGATGATAATGATGGAACACCTTTGCCATCTTCTAGTGTTTTTTATGCTGTTCCTTTATTGTTTTAGAAGAGCAAGTGTTATCTTAGAATGCAAGCATATATGTGAAGTTTGGTGTGCAACTACTGGTTGGTATACCTTTTCTATTATGCACCTATATATTCTTGGGAAGTTTTTTATGATATAAGAGGTAGCTGATGCAAACGCACATTTTCACCCCTAGCTAATTTATGATTACCCAGTTTTTCATGAACTTCCCATTTAAATGTCGTAGACAAATCAAGTCAACATCTGCAGTGACATTAAAAATTATATAAAAATAATATGGGAAATATAATTTAGAAATTGTGTTGTTCCAATTGATAATACTTGCACACATCCTATAGTATAGGGTCTCTAATTGGAACCTATCAATACCTCATAATGCCAACAAATAATTTTGATCTGGCATTCATATATACTCTTGATGGACATAATGATATTTTAGAGTATTATTAAGACTGCTGAAGGGTCAAATGGGCCCATGTATCGGTCATGTAAATCCAATTCAGTCTCTGAATTAAAAAAAGGTTCAATTCACCCTTCTAACTGACAAAAAATGGTTCAAATTTCATTTTTTATGGGTAAGCAATCAGCCATTTTTTAAATTTGTTAGAGTTTCTGTGTTTTATTTTTGATTTATTGTGATTTTGACACTTTTTAATAATTTAGGGATGTGAATTGGACCCTTTTTACCGGTTGTTTACCTGTAAAAAAAATGAACCTTTTTTTGCCGGTTTGGGGTACAAATTGCACCTTTTTTAGTTCAGAGACTGTATTAGGTTTACACAATTGATATAAGAGCCTATTTGACTCTTTAGCCTCGATTCAATGATGATATATCATATGCTCAAATCGTATTTATTTAGTATATACATCTTGTTTCAGTTGTTTGTGATACTTTGTGAAGAAGAGATCGTTTCCTTTCAAAGAAAACAATTCTTCGAAGTACCATGATAATTTTATTGAAAATTTAAAACCTGTTTTTATTAGATGTAACATATTTGAATAGGAAATTAGGTTTGATGTTTTATGCTTTATATATAATTGCAAAACAAGCTCCCCAATGCAAGTAGAAAAATGTTTGGTGTATACTTTTCGTACATTTGTTTTTTTCACTAACACAAAGTTGTCTATTTACAGACAACATTGTAGGGCTCTACATAGTTGTATGTGTACAAACCATTCTGTATGCGTAAACGAGTGTACGAAAGGTGTACTTGTACACTTATTAAGATTCATGCAATTATGTAGCAAAAATTTAGCCCAATTGCATACTTTAGATTCCATCTCAGGATCACTCTTGTGCTTTCACAATCGGTTAAAAGTAAGAAATGTTTGACAAGAAATATCTATTACTCCGTATTCCAAAACTACATTCATAGAGGAGATAATTTGTCAAAGTACTACATAATATTTTCGAAGTCAATATTATCTGTTCAATCAATAATAAAGTTAAATTCTCCGTACTGTTAATTACGTCAATTTTAATAATTAAAATTTATATATTCAGAAACTACATTAAAATATCTGTAAAGTTGCAAAATCCAAACTAAATTTTAATTAAGAATTGATATCCTAACTAAGTGAAAAAATGAATTTGTTTGACTCTAACAAGTCAATTTTACTACTCAATTTATCTATAAATGTTGCAGAAATTTTGTACATAAATTTCTGCAAAATTTCAGACAGACAAAATTTCTGTGAAGGACGTACATGTATATATATATATACGCATTTTGTTTAGCTCAAGTATTTTTCTAAAATTTGTAGATAAGTAGATGGGGAGATCATGGGATTAGGCCCGAGGGGTGTTGCAAAAATCGACACGCAGTCCTCGTTATTCACGGTTTTCTGCACTCGCCACCACAATAAAATTAAGACTGTCCCTTGCTAAACCCCCTCCCTCGACCCAAAGTTCTTGTCAAGAATCGTCTCAAATCCTCTCTTCTTCAGTTTGCTCCAAGGTTACCTGAGATTGAAATGAGAGGAACAATGCTGAAATCCCTTCTTAGAAGCTCCATTTCCGACGCTTCTCGCGTCTCGCGCCGCGGGTTCTCCTCCGAGTCAGCCCCCGAGCGAAAAGTTGCCATCTTGGGAGCCGCCGGCGGGATCGGTCAGCCGCTATCTCTACTCATGAAGCTCAATCCTCTCGTATCTCACCTTTCTCTTTATGATATTGCTGGAACACCGGGTGTGGCTGCTGATGTTAGCCACATCAACACCAGATCTGAGGTATGGCGATCTTTGATTTTCCTTTTAAATCGATACAACCCTCATATCCCAAATATCGCTTGTTTGACCTTGTTCAATGAATCGTGATCCAATTCATATCTGTTTTGCTGGACACTTCTGTATTCACTGACTGACAGTGTGGAAGCTTTTTTCTCTTTGCGGATAGGTGGTTGGCTTTATGGGAGAGGAAAACCTGGGCAAAGCTTTGGAAGGAGCTGATGTTGTCATAATTCCAGCTGGTGTCCCACGGAAGCCTGGTATGACTCGTGATGATCTCTTCAACATCAATGCTGGCATTGTGAAATCTCTCTGTTCTGCCATTGCCAAGTATTGCCCGAATGTTAGTATCACTGTAGCGTTTTCTGCATATTAGTCAGGTTTATAGGTATTGATTGATTTTTGTTGACCTGACATCACTTTTCTGACCCAATATAAAGGCCCTTGTCAATATGATTAGCAACCCTGTGAACTCAACTGTCCCAATTGCTGCTGAGATCTTCAAAAAGGCCGGAACTTACAATGAGAAGAAACTCTTTGGTGTCACAACCCTTGATGTGGTCCGGGCCAAAACTTTCTATGCTGGAAAATCTAATGCTAATGTTGCGGGTATGCCTCTTAATGCATGGATATTTCAGTATCATTTTTTGGGGGTAACTTATGGTGCACAACTTTTATCACAAGTTCTTTCTCATTTAAGCACTCAAAGTACTTCTTTGGAAAAACAACAATTTGATGCTATCTTACATAACCATCAGAAGTCTTTTTTAATTGTTTAAAGCAATTTTCAATCTTCCTGCCAAGTTTTAGTTTTTAAAGTAAACAAATGTGTTTTTCTTTGTAAAAGTGCACATGTATTTTTTGAAAACAAGTCATACGCGCATCAAGTTTACTTGTGCTTCTAAAGTCTAAACAATAATTGCAGTACATCAGCAATTCCTTTTGTTATCTTACTATTTTGCTCCTGTTTTCAGAGGTCAATGTACCAGTAATTGGTGGTCATGCAGGCATAACAATCCTCCCGTTGTTTTCTCAAGTAAATAATCTTTTTTTCTCTAGTACTATGTAGCTCTCAATTTTTACTTAAATAATGTTCACACTTTCTTTTAGTATGTTAACTTATTTACATGTAACACTTTAGGCTACACCAAAACCCAACTTATCCGATGATGTAATTGTTGCACTTACAAAAAGAACCCAAGAAGGTGGTACAGAAGTTGTGGAAGCTAAGGCCGGGAAGGGTTCAGCCACACTCTCGATGGCGTAAGTTTAAACTGATTCTCTCCATGCTTAGAAAACTCTTTCATTTGCTTGATATAAAATGTCAGGGAATAAATAAATGAGTCACTGCACTATCTTGAGCCAAATAACTAGTCTTTTTAACTTTATTTAAGGAAAAAGGTCTGGCATGGTGTGTGTGTACCTCTCTCTCTCTCTCTCCCTCTCTTCCCCTTCCTCCCTTGCTTAGTCTATCTCATATCACGCAGTCTTTCATTTTAAGCAACTGTGAATGATATTGATAAAAAAAGCATGTCGATGCATAATTAGAAGCTATGAAGAATGCACACTCCATTTTGACAAAAGTACCTGCCCATTGTAATTTTTGGTCAGGGACTTGGGGATATGCTTGGGTTAAATCCAATTATTTTGTGTTTTATGTATTTGGAAAAATGGCTATAGCTGTACATGGATTATATGCTGTAGTCAAAACGATGTTTTTTGAATAATTTTTTCTCTTGTGTCTATTTCTCGCTTAAGGTGTTGTTACTATTTGACCAAGAGATCATGGGTTCAAGTCATGAAAGCAGCCTCTGGTCAGAATAATAAGGGAAAGCTTGCTGCTCATACACCATAGTGATGGAACCCTTCCCCGGAACCTTGCCTTGCAAGGATGCCAATGTGCACCGGGCTGCCCTGTCTATTTCCCCATTTTTTTCACTTTTATAATCCTACTCCCTTGTTTCTTTCACCCTGTTTCACATACCCTCACATTTAGCACAACTTGGCTCCAGTGACACTTAACTTTAATAGTGGTTTCCCAACAATTGAATTTCTTTTAGACTATGTTCAATTTGGTTTTCTCCTTGAGTTTTCAGCTAACAATCTGGGGCTGTTTTATGCTAGACTTGTCTTGTTTTCTAATTTATCACATGTAATTTTATTTTAAGAAATTTCAAAATTCTAAACATAGCCATATTGGTTCATTACCCGTAACCCCACCCCCAGGATCTATACCTAAAACATGCATGATACAACATATCTGAGAAAAATTATTTGGTTGTCAATGCTGAATATTTCATTACAAATTCGGCACGAGTAAAACTTTTGGCCAGAAACGTTCACAAAATTCCCAATGCTTAATGCCATAATTGATCTGTTACTTCTAGTTTTTTACTAGCATTGATGGTTTCATCGTTGTGATTGTTGCAGATATGCCGGGGCCATATTTGCAGATGCTTGCTTGAAGGGATTGAATGGAGTTCCTGATGTTGTTGAATGTTCCTTTGTGCAGTCAACCATTACTGAGCTTCCTTTCTTTGCATCCAAGGTATATTTTGAACTCTAGTAACTACTATATTCAAAGAGCAAGTATGTTTTACTGATGTACAGGTTTTAACATTGGTAATTGTGAAAAAGATTTGGTAAAAAATTATTTGTATATTTAACTAAAAAATGATTTGTAATTGTCTGTAAGTCTTTTTTAAAGGGAGTAATTGTATGTCAATATTTGTAATATTAAAATCATTTAATTCGAAAGAAGTGTTTCAAACAGCACAGTTTTTCCCTGGGGCAGATGGAGCGATTACAATTTAAAGTCTGTTCTTGGCTGTGTTGATCAATTGAACTCTCATGTCTTTGATCATGAGTTTGATTCTAATAAGATAAATGAATCATTTCCAGGTGAGACTTGGGAAAAATGGAGTGGAAGAAGTCTTAGGGTTAGGTTCACTCTCCGACTTCGAGAAGGAAGGACTGGAGAAA